ACAGTGTGTTTAAATCCAGTGATTTAACCCATGCTTTTACAGACAGGGTGGGAACGGCGTGGAACTCCAGGAGCTCACAGGATTGTCTCTGGAAAAGCACAACCCCTCTCTTCTGGGGACTAGGCAGGGTGTATGCCTCTTCCTTGCAGTCGAGAAGTGGGCTGGCCAGGGTGGAGGAACGAAAAGGGGCTGTAACTTGTTCTCCCCATCTCCTTTCTCCACTGAAGACCTCTACCACAAGGGGTGTACCTGTGGGTCTGCATGGGGGGAGCAGGGCACAGCCCTGGCCTGGAGTGGCACTGCCCAACCAGTGACAACTGGTCCAGAACAGTGGGAAGGAAAGTGCAGATTTACCTGGGACAGGTAAGGGGCCTTTAGCCCTTAGTTAGTGGTTTAACTAAGCTCTAACTGGTCTAACTGGCTCTACTGGTGCAGTCCTTCACTCCTTAGGCCCAAGGGCGTCTCAGGTAGGGCATGCTGGGGAGATATGGCAGCACTGCCCCAGGAGTACAGTGCTAGTGGTGTTAAGGTGCAAGGAGAGGAGAGTTAAACTCTTCTCTCCAAACGAAGCCCCTTGAACAGGCCAATGTTTCTCTCATGTGAGCAGGATAGGAGAGGGAAGGATGATCTGTGATCTTGGGTGCAGTAGGCTAATAATGTATGGAGAAGGGCACAAGACCTACAATGTTATAGAGTTCACCTGAGCCATTCATTTTGCCATGGAGTAGATCTTTATTGGTATTAAAAAGCAACTCAGAAGTGCTCTAGCTCATTTTGATCTTCAGTATCTAGTTATCTAATATTTGAGGAACTGTATCATATTACCATCATAAGCTTCATTCATCTGCTATCTAGATCTGAGCTTTATAGATGAAACAACAGAATGATTAAACAAGACATTAAAAACAAAGCTGAAGTAAAGCATGGAATAGAAATGCAGATGGCCTTTTATTGCTGAAACAATGAGATAATAAATTAGATTACATGTAGTTCCACTAAACCCCGAGAGTTTTGCTGAACTTTAGCAAACTGTAACTTACTTATTAGCCTCTTTGCATGTATCAGCAGTACCCATCAGCACTGGGTAAAGGAGAATCAGTTGATACTTATTTGGACTTTCAAAAATCTTTGGAAAAGAAGTAGCAGACAAAGTGCTGCTGTTTGTTATGGCTTGGCCTGAGACAAAAAAATTTAAAAAAAAAAAAGCAATTGGAATAATGTCCACATTTCTGTACAGAAAGATGATGGCATAGGGCAAACAAAGATTCTGTATAAAAAGCAGTGTTAAACATACTTATCAAAGAGCTGAAAAAAAAGAAAAAAAAGATGACAAAACTTAGAGGAACACAGTTGGTTTGGTTGTTCAAGGATGAAGGAATACCTATATCCTCCAAAGCCTTGAGCAAGCCTGAAATGAAGTAAAGAAGGAGGAGAAAACATTTCAGTTCTTCTAAAAATGGGTGCTATGTTGCCAACAGGCTCTTCAACACTGACACCAGGCCAAACGCAGCCATCCCCAGTACACCCTTGTTTCAGAAGTTTGCGGTAGCAGCATCATACCAGAATCAAATACTGGAGGAGTGATAACCCTGAAATAGTAACATACTTGAAGTTCTTGTGGGATGTGAAGATTTGGGAGGTGTATGTGTGTGTGAGAAGAATGTTGTACACCCCTGAGCCATGACTCTGTTCAGGCAGTAGGATTTGTTAGTTGGCGTCCTTTCCCGGCTGGAAGATAGGCACTACTCCAAGGACCGTGGAGGTGCCCCGACCTGCCACAGCTGTTAGTCTTTCAGGGTCTGGTGGAAGGCCCTTTCTTAAAAGAAAAAGAAAAATAATAAAAATCCATACAACGTGGGTTCCCCCACCCCCATCACATTCCATTCTCTGACATACTTCTGCTTCAGGACAAAAAAAGGGAAATTACATCATTGCGTGGATGCAAAGCAAAAGGCACTGACAACATTGCTTACAGTCATCTTGCAGTCATGTTGCTTAAAGTGTTGATGTTCTCCAGCTGGTCTGATGATGGCTTTTTGCAGAATCCTGCCACAAGGACGCTGGTTTCACTTTGCCCCAGCACAGCACTGAAACCGAGGAGCTGAAACCTCAGCTCCAGCTTCTGCTTTCTCATTTTGGTATTAAGTACAACCTTAAGGATCTCAAGAACTCAGCTGATGAGATGGAGCTCTTTTCCCTGGTAACTGAAATGTAGTTCTCAATACTAAAAAAAACAAACCAAAACAAAAAAGTAAAAAAAAAGTCTTTAAAAGTATGGAAGGAAGTTCCATTTATTACAAGTCAGTGTTTTGCGTCACAGAAAAATAAGATTGTGGGTATTTTTGCTCTTGACAGGAAGCAGCAGAAAGGCCCGGCTTGCTCTCACTAAGCTATAGTAACTGCTGACGTTCATATTCTCAGCGTCATGGCTCTGAGTCCGTACCTTTGTTCTCCCAGCTCTCACTCGTGCTTTTTGTGTGTTTTTCTCGAGTTTTCCTGCCCTTGTTTGGTGTCTCCCCGAGCAGTGGTACTTCCACTAGAGGTCGGCTGCGACACACCGTCGCCCAGGACCTCGCCGAGCCTCCGCAGCTCAGGGGTTACCAGCAGGAAAACGTTGGGTTTTGTTTTTTCTGTCACCCAAAAGGCAAAACCGACTGATAATCTCCAGCGTGTGTCCAGGGTCCAAAAGAGACACATAACTGTTAAACGTAAATAACATACTGCTTTTAAATACATGGCTTGCCTTACAAATCACGCCTTGTATGAGAGCAGGTGGTACAGCTGAAAAGGACAAAGGTTTGGTTGCATAAACTGGTCTGTAAGTGTCTCATCAAATTAACATTTGACTAGTCCAGCTGAACTCACTGAACCATCTGAGATAAGGAGGGCAGACGTGTTTACACAACTAGGCAATGATGTAAATTACTGTCATTGTAGGCTGGCAGTGGCTTATTCATTTTTGAACAGGATTTTCGAAGTACATCTTCTAGGCTAATGCTATTCCTACCAAAGCCAGTGATAATAAATTTGCCACTGACTTTGACTGAAAGAGAGTGTTTTTGAAATTCCTGGTCTTCTTTTTGGAGGCTCCAGAGTTAACAGCCGGGAGTTTCATTGTGTCTGCTGGAAAGGAAAGAAAACACAGGACCAGAAAGTCTCCTTTGTCACTTTATCACTCCATTTATTTATTTATTTTGGCTGATAATATGCAGTATTACTTTGCTATAGGATTTAATATCTGGCTTGGGAAATTTATAACAGTACCATCTCCTTTTATGCTTTAGGTTGTCCAAAACTTTAGAAGTGTCTTCTGCAAACAGCAGACGATGAGAACGTTTCCAGTTTATGATGCAGAGGTTTCTTGGTCAGAGAACTGGGGCATGCTAGATCCAGCCAGGGCTTTGAAAAAGAGAGCTAACTGGATCCCTTTTTTAAAGGTAACTATGAGGAACTTTCCTTTTTCAGTTGTGTTAGTCCTAGTCAGTCTTCAGGATGTACCAAGATACATTTCAGCAATTAAAGTCTAAAATGTTTCTTTTGACAAATAGAGTGATGATTTTTTCAATAATTCAGGCCTTATCAAACTACTCTATTTCTGTATAGTCAAGAGCCCCTTTTCATGTCTGTTGAAAATAAAAAGTGAATGTATTGCACTTTCTTTACTAAATATTGCCTCCTATACCGAAAACATGTAGCGATATTCGTAAGTTTTGTGGTTACTTTTATGTCAACCGGATTAAGCCTAAAGTAGATCCCTGGCAGCAAAAGCTTTTGATAAAACTGAAACAATGGAAAAAAGTGGATAAGCTGATGGACCTTCATTCAAAATTTGTAGAGGTAATATAACTTAAAAAGTGATTTTAATTTATTTATTGGACACTTCTACGGAAATTGAAATCTCTAGAGAAAGGTTGCCTCAGAGTGTATATGCCGGAATTCATTAAAGACCCATTACTAAGGTGCTATAGAGATTTTTTTCTCCCTCTTTCTCAGTTCAGCAGTTTCAAAAGGCAGTTTGAACACTTGCATAAATATTCAAAAGCTCTGAGGTTCACCTAAGTCAGGTCAAAATCAGTCCCGGAATTTGTGTCAAAGGGATTGCTCAGAACAGCTTTCTTTTTAGTGTGACCAAGGTTCAGATCTGTGCTCAAAAGATGAGGAGAGATGCTCCAATAGTGAGGTACAAGTCTAAAACTTGGTAGGGCACAATGTGTCTCAGGGAGAGGTTACTGAGTGTCTCTCTTTTTGTTCTAGTTTCACCCGTTCTCTTGATTCTGGTGATATATTGCCATTTTTGGCCATTTTGAGGATGTCCTGCAGGACAGCTCTGTCTAGGCTGCCTGCCGTCCAGCCTCCTTGGAAAAATGGCAATGGGCATTCAGGGATCAGGCCTGCTTGGCATCCACAGTGAGCCTGAGGCACCCCTAACACCTCGCACCATTGTCTTGCAAATGATGATCGTCTGTGAAGAGTAGTATTCATTTGTCCTAATCGCACCTTACTCACTGAATGTACCCTGCAGGGCTGACTTGCATATGCCCAGTAAGCTCTGCTCATTCACGCCTGCTGCAGATGCATGAACGAACTGCAGGGCGTGATAGGCTGGTCAGGTGTACTGGGGAGTTGCCACATTTTTCCAGTGAAATTTGAGCAGGTCTGGTGTCCTCATCTGTAAAACTGGCACAACAGGAGTTCTCTGCCTCTCAAGGATGAGGAAAACTAATGCAATTAAGATGGTGAACTGCTACTATAGGACTGGATCTGTATAAATATCTCAGCCAGTAAAAGTTATCTGGCAATCAGAGGATGAGATTACTGCCTCTCATCCCCCGGGTGAGCCTGAAGCACTATGAACAATAAGGACACCTTGTAGTTCAGCTCCCAGCTTTACACAGGAACCAGAAAATAAATCCCTTCTCTGAAGCTGTGGAGGAGTTGTACCCCTAAGTGCTCTCTTCTATCAGTAATCACATTCCTGCCAAATGGAAAGTCCTTGATGAGCTATCTCTTTCTTCCTTTAGTACCCAGGCAGTGTTGGGTACACAGGAGCAGCCTAAGCTGAGTCTCCAGCTCAAGTGAGGCTATTTCAGCCCTGAAATGTCATGGGGCTCCTTGGTTTTCTCTCCCCAAGGAACCACTGCTGTAGTCCATCCCAATACCTCTGTCCTCAGGCTTGAAGATCCCCTGCTGTCTGGAAAGGGGGTAGTGGGCTTATCACAGAGCCCCGAATGATGCTCTGTATGTGTTTGAGTTGTGGGCAAGCCTTGATTTGGGACCCTTGAGGGGGTTGCTGCCTTCCTTGGGGGTGCTAGCTGGAGAGGGGAGGAGGAGGATTCCCATCTGCATGGGGGCTGTGATGGCACGGGGCAGAACAAGGGAGAGGGTGTCAAAAAAGCAACCAAAGCAACATGAAAATGTTACCGTAAGTCGGCAGATGAAGAACTCTCTAAGACTCAATTTGGAGTTTTAGAGAGCAGGCATTCTTTATTGCGGCGCCGGGTGCCAGGTGGAATTTCCATAAATCAAGCACACCTATGGCTAGATCACCGTTACATTTATACACAAGAATTACTAGGTAGTACGCTCCCAGTTACAATGATTGGTTAGTGGTTTACATATAATATCTGCTGTGTCATTCTCTTCTGTTACTACGCTTGCGCAGGGGAAGGGTCTTCACCTGGGCAAGGGTCTTCTTGACCTGTGGGTGTGTTTTTTAGTATTATAATGAGGGCAGTTCACTTCAGGTTACCTTAAAAGTAAGTTTCGTTGCCAAGTTAGCTAGATATTCATCTACCTTGTCAAGTTGTCAAATAACTCATCCCATATACAATAAAGCCTAAGTGGTCTGGTTACGGTCTAGAGAATTAAGACTAAGGCTAACATGGTCCAGTGAATAACACAGCAACCCATACATAACGCTAACATGAAGACTAGTAACACAGCAACCCCTACATAACGCTAACATAAAGATTAATCAAAATGTTCTTATAGTTGCTTATTCACTATCAAACACAAAATATAGAAAGATTCAATAAAAACTTATGATAATCTTCAACAAAAACACCCAGAAACAGGCAGAAACGGACAGTGCCAGCTCAGCAGGGTAGAGCCCTCGGTGCTGTAGCCATGGACCGCATGTGGGGATGGTGCCTGCTCTGCTGCCCAGCCGTCTTAGGATTGCTTAGGATCCCATCAGCCTCCTGTATCCTCTTAGGCGGCTATTTGCTTTGCCTACACCTGAAGCTGACCTCAGTGAAACGGCAACAGGGAGCCTTCGTAAGCAGTTTCTGTTGGGCTGAAGGCAGGAGGACGATAAGACTGTGCTGGAGCAAACTACCCTGTGACTTGGGAAAGGGAAAATGGAGGCTCCTGGCTTCCCACCCTGTTCACCTTCCCCAAGCCTCTTCCCACTGCCTGACTTCTGATTTTGTGTTTCAGTGTCTAACAAGCCTAAAAATAAATATAACTCCAAGGGAACAAAGGTTCCCTTTAAAGGTTTAATCAAAATGTTCTTGTAGTCACTCATTCACTATCAAACACAAAATATAGATTCAATATAAAAAAACTTATAATAATCTTCAACAGTTTGGTAAAGAGATTGGGTCAAGCTGTCCAAAAGCAGTGATAACAAGACTTGCTAACAAAGGTGCTTGGCAGTGGAATGCCGGATGGTAACAGTGTTTTGTAGAGAAGCAGTAATGGATCAGAAGTTGTTGACTCCCAACCAGTAAAAAAGTGAATGAAGGAAATGCTTGGGAAATGAATGGAAAAATCATTTCCATAGGGTCTGATATTTAATTTACATTTTTATTAAAGGCTGCTTGCTCCCCTGCCTTCCCCTTTCTAATTATTATTACTTTTTTTCCTCCTGTGTTAAGTAAGGTTTCATTTCTTTTGACTTTTCAGCATCTTTGTTCAAAACAGATGATAAAGAAGAGTCTTATAAAATTCCTGGTCTTAATCCCCTTAGAATTCCTATCAATGCTTTGCTAGAATTCATATCAACAGAATTTTACTGATGCCAATAATTGTTAAAGCATGACCATGTTCTTCAAATTATACTTCTGATACAAGCGGCAATTAAAAAAAAATCTGCAAGATTAGATGTGTTTTTCAAAAATTACCTTTGTACTACTACTAATTTTGTTTAACCTGTTTTTTGGCAGTACTCTCTATATATTTAGTCTCCCTGGTTCCTATTTAACATTCATTATTTACTTTTGTGGGTCTCACAAAACATTTGAGAGAGAATTCTCTTTAAATCGCAGAAATCAGGAAGTGGATGTGTAGACTTTGCAGCTGAAGTTGGCTTTACAATATTTTAAATAATTGAATGGATTTTATTTTGATCATACTCTTAGAAAGTTTAGCCATTTATGGTCTTTTTTTTTTTTAATTTAGGACTGAAATAAGCTTTCTTTTATGATCACTGTTTTCAGACGTTTTCCCCATGCCAGATATTTCACAAAGAAACCATTCTTTCGAATCTTGCCACAGCATGTAATTTTTCTGGAAAGCTTGGCTGAAAGCTATCATCACCACTAACAAAAGTAAAAATGGCTTTGCAGCTCACTGAGACAATGAAAAAAAGATCATTCTCCTTGTTTTTTCCATAGTGGCTTGCTCACCAAATATGATATGTTTGGTTTTCATCAAGAAACATGTACACCTCCTTAAGGGCGAGGGGTAACAGGAAAGGAGAGAGGGGATTACCCAGTAGTCCCTCCCCTCCGTAAATCTCAGTTAGAAAAAAAGTGCTTTGTATTCTTTCTTATCTGGTATATTCCCTCCATATGCTGGGACAGGCAAGTCCATTTCTACATTTTCACCGTGGAGAGGGGGCAGCAGACAGCTTTCCCAAATAAACGAGAAGCAGTAACGAGTGGTGCTGTAGAGGCTCCCTCACCAGATGCTCTGAATTGACCTTGACTCACTGCAGGATGGGAGCTGGCACGCTGACTCGTTTGCCCTGTGAATCTTTTGTCTGTATCTGATGTGGTTTGAAACAAGGTCTCGGACGTAGAGAGGGTGATGGAGAGTCTCCAGGAACACATGGCAGCGGTGTTCGAACCACATCCTGTGCGGTCAAGTTCTACCACTTCTTCTCATGCCTGTGGACAGCAGAGCTACAATCATGTCTGGAAGGAGATCTATGCCTGCACTGAGTTCCTCCAGGTACTTAGAAGGGGAAATGATGAATAATGGTCAATTAACATGTCTAGCAGCCATTTCTCAGCTCTGATAGAGGGCTTCTCTTAACAGATTTCTGTTTGGATACCGGCATTCCCCTTTTTCAAAATTCAGTCTCCTGCTACTGCTGCTAAGCAGGAGCTGCCCAGCTGCAATGGATGGTTGCATGCCCGAGCCGCATATGCGATGTCCTCTCCTCCTTGGTGCTCGCTAGCTGCTGTGCAGCCACCGGTCCAGTGATAGCACAAGCGGCGTGCGATTGCACCTACCTAAAAATAACATAGCCGGGCTGGGGTGTGGATTTGGCTGCAAGAAATAGAAGTGTGCCCTAGTATTTACTGGAGAGTGTGGTATCAGGGAATGGGTTAGCATGTGTGTACGGAGGAGAGGGGAGGAAGGATGGCAGGTTGTCTTGGTTGCAGGAGGCCGTCCAGCAACTGAGCACCTGTGGACCTGAGAGCAGATGGCTGCTTTGTGCAGGGGCAGGTGTGATAGCAAGTTCCTCCTCTGGGGCAGGAAGTGGCGTTTGTGGGCATGGCCTCACGGAGGTTCAGAAGCTGTGAGAGCAGAAGCTGTGAGAGATCTTCACGTTTTGGAGAGGGGAAAAAAACCCCACAAATGGCCCACCTGCAGGGTAGTGAATGAGAAGCAGGACCTACCTCTCTGTTATCTGGGGAATTTGTAGTAACTGTGGCATGCCTTACGTGGCGAGGTCTGTGACTAATCCTCTGAATTTGAAGGTATCCCTTTGATGCAGATAGACTTTGGTTCCCTATTTCTTTATTGTCCTTCTGACTCAGAAGTCGTTCACAGCTGCTGCTTTGATGAGTATAAAAGCAGAACTGTTATGCACAGAACTGCTACATCCCGGAAGTTCCTGTATCCACAGCTCAGTGCTTCAATTGCCTCCTTCTACCGGTGCCAGGACCAAGCAGGGCAGCTAGTAATACAGGAGCGGGGGAAAGGGAACAGAGGGAGAGAGACAGCATTTAGTCTCTTCTCGTTCCCTCTTTCCCGCTGATTAATCTGCCCCACGCCTGATACCAACTCCGTGTTCAAAAATAAACCTGCATTTTTCTGTCAGGAAAAGCTCCCACGTGTGAGAACATACAGTTCTCGCCACCTCAGGCTGACCCTGACCAGGAAATACTTGATTACTTAATGAAAACTTCAGGAAAAAAAAACATTGGGTTGACTCATGCAAGCTACATGATAATTAATTAAAAAAAGAAAGAAAACAAGATTGGACTGTACATCTTTCTGTCAAGTGCACTGAGGTCACGACTGGGTTGGGAAATAGTACCTATTTGGGGGCAACGCAAGGGACGTGACTGATCTCAATTTTGAAACAGTCTCGTCATGATGGTTATTAAAAAAACTAGAATTAGATCCTCCGCAAAAAAGCACTGTCCAGGTCTCAGTGTTTTTAAAATAAAAATTCAGCTGCTACCCAAAAATGTGCCGTCACTTTTTTCCTTATTTCACTCGCATTTTTCAGACAGCATTGTCTGTATGTTTTTAAAGTGGAAATTTTAAGTAGAAATGCTTCATCCCATGCTTAGTCCATATACTTATTGTGATATTTAATAGAGATGTACAATTAATGCTGTTGATTCAGGAAAATATATTTTAATTCTATTTGACCCCACATTATTTTAAGTAATAGAGATTGAAGGACCTAGTTTTTCTAAAATTTAAGAAATTAGGCCTTTGGAGTCAATGAGGACAGGATAAGTGAGGATGATCATGCTTAGTAAGGATAGAGAAATCAGTTAACAGATAATCTATCATTGCAAGGATTATGTAAAGAATTCATTGTTTGACATCAAGATTTGTTTGGCTTGGAGGAATTTTTTGAGACAATACACTCATGTCAACTTGCAAATTTATAGAACAGCTAACGTAGTCCTGAGTTTATCTGTGTCACTTCTATGAGTAGCTTTGTTAGGATGTCTCGTGTTGAGCAGGATAAATTTGACAAGTGCCAATTTGTGAAGATACATTAATAGGATTTTCTTTAATCAGAAAAAACAATGCCAAAATCAATGCTATAAAACCCTTAACACACTGAAAAGAATTCCAACTTTTGCCATCCAAGTTCAAATGAAGTGGTAAAATAAATCGGGGTAGAGAAATGGGTTGAGGAAAATTTTTTCTCATATACTTGATTATCTGAGGAAATTAATTGGATAATGCCTAGCAAATCACTGTCCATAATGTTCCACAATTAATAAATACTGTGTGACTCATAGTGATCTTCCCATTTACACTGGTACTAATGCCAGTTTATTTTCACTGATGTTGGTGGAGTAACTCCTGATGCATGTGAGAAGGCCTTGATGGAGTTGATAACAAGGCAGGTGTGCCTGTTTTCCTGCTTGCTGCTCTTCTGCTACTCTCTTATCACATCATGGAGTGTGCTGGAAAGGAGTGAGAGAAAAAAACAAGCACTGAATTTCATTTTACAGAATGTTAGCTAGAGCATTTAATATATGCTTGTGTTGGGGGTGTAGTGTATACATCACAGTAAAACTTTTCTACAGCCTAGTCTGATATTACTTCTTCGTTGCCACGCTATGATTTTGCCCCATGCTCAGTCTATGATCTGCTGGAGCCCAGAAATCAGTTTTTCTTTTATGGCAGGAGGAAAAAGAATGGACTAGGAGGTCAGACATGTCACTAGCATAGCTGGGTTGAGATTTTGATGAAATAGATGTTCTGAATTTCTTTGGAAAATTTCCTCGATCTGACCCTTGCCGCAGTCTTGTCTTTGGAACAGGAATAGCTCTTTCATACAGCTCAGGGACTTTATAAGAATAAATACTAAGGATTGGAAAGCAATCAAATATTGTGGAGTTATATGCCATGATAATTTCACTGCTGGCTGGATTATGAATTTCATCCAGTATGGCACTTCCTTTCCTTTTCTTTTCCTTTTGTTATGATAAAGCCTATGCATAGAGCTGTCAAATAAGAATCATATGCATACTTACCACACCAATTTTTAACTATGTGTGTTGGAACTAGGAACTAACTATCGAGGATGATAACACAGCTGTGGCTCACAGTGGGAAGGATGTAGGAAATATCAGCTCCGGTAAGCCTCCGGCATCCTTCAGAAAGAAGAATGAAAGAGGGTAAAAAATTGTTCATATGTGTATATATGTATGTATATATTTAATAAAACCTGAAAGAAGGAAGAAAAATTATATCAACCTACTGTTTCTCTGACAGAAGCAGTAGTGCCATCCTTTTCCATTATTCCATACCGCAGGTTTCCATGACAGTCCGTCCCGTAGGCAGCCGCAGCCTTCTCTTAGACAGCAGACATAGCAAAACTGTCTACTTTAGGAAGGTTTAGAAATCTCCTGAAGTAGCAAAAATGTAATTACATTTTTCCTGTCTGGCAAAAGGTATAGTTATATGGGCAGCTTGCAGCTGCTAGGATTAGAAGAGGGCACAGCGACCGCCCACAGGGAGCACATGGTGAGGAGAGGAGCCTACTTGTCCCTTCTTTTCTTACGTCACCTGAGACTCCGGGAGCTAAAGGTAAAAAAACTCAACATAAAATCTGCAGAGATCAGAGTTAATTTTTTTAAGAGGGGGGCTGTCATCCAACTGAAAATGCAACTTGTGCGTTTGCTCCGGTTTGTTTCAGCGAGTGTGCCTGGGGATCCTTAACTACTTCAGGTCTGTGGAGAGAAGCCTGACCATCAGTACCGCCGGCCTCTCCTTCAAGGCGGGTCACCTAATTCCCAGTGCAGAAGACACCTCCTGGGTCAGTGCTGCCAAAGGAGGCACTGGTGGTTTTGGTGGCCTGAGTTCACAGCCATATATTCACTACACACCAGCTGACTACAAGGTGAGGTACCACCTAGCCTTTAGTCTTCCAAAACGTGTGCTTCAACAGGAGTACCTAATCCAGTTCTCTCTTCCATGCAAGCTACGCTGTGATCAATTGCTGAATCATCCGAGGGGTTCAGTGTAGCTTCTTCCTCAGAACCACGTGTCTCGCCTTAACAGACTAAATACTTGTATCTACCAGCGGTCTGTAGCAAGCCTCTGAGAAACTTGAGGCACGTAGCAGTATAATGTCAATACTGCCTGCCAGATAAACATTTACTTAGGCCGGTGCTGCTGGCTGTGCTTAAACTAGGACCTTTGTAAGTGCAGGATTATCACACAGAGTAGATGTTCCTGAGAAATCTGAGGCATTTTGCAATTTATGGAAATCCTTGTTTAAGTAACTCATAATGACTTCTAAAACGTATTCTTTAGATTTAGGTAGAGTTTAGGACTTACTGTTTTTTAACCTTGGATGAGGGCATGTGGCTGAAGTGATATAATTAGTACACTTAGCTTCACAGATTAGAAATATAATAATTTGAATTAAATTCCTAAGGCTTATCAAACTTTGCTTTCCCCAACTTTTTTGTAAAATATACTGAACAGAATCAGTATATCATGCTGACATTAGTGGTTTGATGTGATATAGTATTTTGTCTTTTGAGCTGTAGAATCTCCTTGCAGCTCTGCTACCAAACACTCATCCCAAAGTTCTCATGTAGAAAGCCTGAAGAAGCACGATAGTATTTTAATAGGATTTTTTTAACATTTTGAGCTCACATTTATTTCTCATTTACTGAAAACTTGTTTGTTTGGGTTTTTTTTTTTTGCTGTAGAATTTGTTGCTCATGTTAAGATTTTACCACCCCCCAAAAAAACCCCCCAAGCCAGAAAAAAACTTCACAAAAACCTCTTTGAAAATAAAATGTGTGGGCAGGACATGGAATTGATGATATTTTTAAGGTATCTTTAGTTTTATTTCTAATATGGTCACATTTATCCTTTAAAAATCTAATCAATTAAAATCCCTAAATGAAAAGCTGCTTGGAACTAGAAAATTGTGATTTTCCACTTAGGAGGTGTTGAGCTGGGTGGTCCAGCATCTTCAAATTTTCAAGTCAGAAAAAGTAATTTAAAAACTTACGTTTTCCAATGGGAGGTGTCGGTTTTCTGGGAAGCAGACGTTGTGACAAGGTCTCCTTCTGATGTCTGCATAATATACCTTTATTTTCATTCCTTTTTTTCTGTTGCAGAAGAAATGATGCAAAGATCAATCCTGACCTTCCATCTAAGCACTCGCTGATCTGGAGACTAGCTATGAAATACTTCAGAGAGCCCCTAGCAATGAGAGACACATTATTTCACAGTGGCCTCTCTTTCCCCTGGACTAATACATGGATATGGATATATGCACTTGAACTTCAACTAAAGCCTAGATAAATATTTACTAATCCTATTACAGTTTAGCTGGCAACAAATGTAGAAGCAGGGGCAACAGTATTTCCTTAACAACAGTTTCTAATGTGTTTTGGTTTTTTTTTTTTAGTATACTGCACAGACTGTCTCTTAAGAACTGAAACAATAATAGAGCCATTTTACTGGCAAACTAATTGGGACCTATCTAACATACTCACTGGCACATGCTATAAACCCAAATTGTATGGCACTGTTTTAAAAATACTTTTAGCATCTAATCTATGCCCCAAATTGGAGGAGTATCTGTGTTATGAATCCCTCCACATTGTAAGCTGTGAGCCCGTGTGATGGCGGAAATGGCTCTGATGGATCTCAGAAAACTGAGATTCTGAGGTGGTTTTGTTTCCTTCCTAGCAGACTGCTTGGGATGGAGATCATCAGAGGCATGAGTCTCAATGACAGAAAGCCCTGCAAAACAATGCATTACATTAAATTCAAACTCTTTTCTGTCCCCTGTTGATATTCAGCTTGGAAGAAAGTAGATAAAATATATGTAGATGCATGAGTGCTGCTTTATAACCCAAAAGGGATTTGTTAAGCCCCAGGAAACCTGAGCAGAGCTAGAGGAGAAAAGCCAAAACCTGCAGGCAAAAAACATCGCACATAAATATGCAGTTACTTGATTTGTTGCTATAGACATGTAACTGGTATTAACATTTTTTATAGGCATAAGTAGTATTTAGAAGGCTTGAGTAGTGTCTTTAAAATATGACTCCCAAAACAAACACGACAGGGAGGAAGTCTTCATTTCTTTTTGGTTTTGTTTCGTAAGAACTCTCCAGTTCTGTAGTCACATGCCTCTTCTGCAGAATGCAGTAGTCTTGTGTGAGATTTTTAGGGGTGGGACAGAGCAGGAATCACCGGAAAAAAATTCAAGAGCTTGAAAGTGGAGATATTTCAATGAATGCTCTCCATAAGGATGTTTAGAAACACAACTAAAAACCCCTTCTACCTGCTATGGTGAAGTCAGCCCAGTATTTTCTCAGTTATTTACCTAAATCAAGTTGAATTTAATTCTTCTATAAAGGGCTTTGATTTAACCTTTAGCAAATTCTGCACCCCATCACTAAGAGCTGTGAAACAAATAGTCTGTTCAGAAGAATAAGGAAAGAACAGAGAGTGCAGAACACCATATCGAAAAAAGGAGAGGAATCTGACCAGGCTGATCCAACATTATGTTCAAATTAGGCATACATTTTGCAGGGTTGCCTCATTAACTTTATGGTAAAGAATGAATTCTGATCCAGCATAGATCTGTGCAGCTGGCAGGCTGTCCTTCCCAGTACATTTAAATTTGACTAAGATTTCCATGACTAAAGTGAATACATTTTCCTTTCCTGCATCCTTTCTTTTAATAGAATTTGAGACATCCAGGTGCTAACAGGTAGTTTGGGTAGCATTGGGGATCTTGTAAAGGCAGATGTTAGGAGAGCCAGTGAAAGGAGGAAGTCCCAATACATTGTGGATCATTATTTGGCACTGAAGTGGGAACCAACGTGCATTACACACCAGGAGATAGTAAAAACAAACAGTGGAAAACGAGGAGCTTGTATTTGCTTGCTAGCTTCTTACAAGGAGAACCATTTTTTAAAGGCTTCTATGGCTACACCCCTATACCAAGTGTTTATTTACACTGGGAGATATTAACTTCTGTAATTATACGCCTAGAGGTAGATGTGTGTAATTCCCTTTGTGGCACTCCTAGTCAAGAAACAATATTTTGAAAGCTAACTGCAGTACTGGATTCTTGCCTGGGGCATTACCAAGCTAACTAGTGACTCACTGCCAAGGTAGATGATTCTCTTCTAAAGATGCTGATGGTTTTTTATAAAAGTAAGGTCATTGTTAAACTGTTCTATTGAACAAGTGTTGAAGTCACAGCAATTTGGGACATGAGTCAATGGGCGTTCCTTTTAATTAGTGCTAAAGTCTTTGTGTCTGTGAGCTTCTCTCCAAATCTTGCAAGTGTAACTTACCCAAGAAGGCTTTAAAAAATGTTGACTTCGTATTTCAATATCAGAATTTAAGACACTTTTTGCCAAATCTGAGCTAAATTAGAAAAAGGGAAAAAAGTTCTACCTTAGTTCAAGATCTAATCTTGTTTTTATGCCTTCTTGGTGCTTTTTCTGGATTTATATGCCTGAAGGAAAAACTAGGCACAGTAGAAATTTTGTACAGTTTGTCTTACTGCATGATAGTATAAATGAAGCCACAGTGTAGGTGTTACCTGTAAAAAATAATATTTTGGCAATATTTTATTTTATTGTTCTTTGCTAGTGACAAAATACCATGTTTCTAGGCCAGGTCCACCCTTAAACATGTTGATTATACAAAATTGCAACCCTTGCAGAGCTGACTGCTTGTATCCCCGTGTCTCTTTTCCACGGCATAGGTCCACAGTGCTCATTTCATGGAGTTTGCAGAGGTGGGAAAACCACGACGACTTTCACACTAATGAAGATGGATGCATTCACACACAGGACCAGCGAGGGGCTTACATAATATATGACGTGGCTTTAGAGGACCTGAAGGAGCTTGAGAACCAGCTGCTGCTTGTGGCCAGCCAGTACATTGAGAAAGATAAAAGTAAGTTATCTACAGGTCCAAAACACCTGTGATAATTTGGTTTGCTGTTTTCAAGGTAGGCCGATCCTATGACTTCTTGAATTGTTGCTGTACTTCTGCAGGACCAAGTTCTAACTGGATTTTTGGGACCTTTCTTTATCCTCCTAATTAGCTAAATGATGAATGTGTTACAAAGACCTAACTGAGCATGTGGAATTGCTTGTCACATGTTGTTAATGTCACAGTTTTGCACTTTTTCAGGGTCATAGACATCAAAGTCATCCTGGAGGGGAAAATGACACAGAAGGGACATTTACTGATGTAGTTCAGTAATATAATGAGCAAGCACATCTTCAAGGCACAGAGAGAGAGTCAGAAAAGAAAAACGTTGTTTCTGAATGTCTTTTAATTAATGTATTAGATTGCTTTTCTGCAGAACTAAATTTACCTCCCACCACTTTTAAACTTTTCTCAGTTGTAAATAAGAAGCTGCAAAATATTTGATGTTTCAGACTTCCTTTTTTCCTGCTGCTTTTTTTTTTATAGTAGGAACTGAGTTGGGGCAGACTGTGTTACAGATGACTAAAAAGAGCAGCTGTACTTCTAGAATAGTGAGGAGGAAGCAGCTTGTAATTATAGAAAGTATGGGGGGAGGGCCATTAGAAAACAGTGAATAAATGCCACAAAAACATATGATAGTCAGAGAATTGCACAAAATATCTCTTAAATCACTGGAATTACTTTCTGTATTGATAGGATAATGTTTTTGATGTTTTAGTATGCTTCCCTAAAACTGAATGTTCTGACATTCAGAGAATGCAGGGCAGAGCTGAGGATTAAGATGACCTTTACAAACCCGTGAATGCCTAAATGCCTGCTAGGACCTCCTTTGAAGTCACCTGAAGGTCCTCACTGTGGACCTTTTTCTGCTCATCTTTCATATGAGGAGAGGCTGAGAGAGCTGGGACTGTTCTGCCTGGAGAAAGCTCAGGAGGGATCTAATCAGTGTGTATAAACACCTGGTGGGAAGGAATGAAGAAGAGGGAACCAGGTTCTTAGCAGTCCCCACTGACAGGACCAGAGGCAATGGGCACAAACTGAAACACATGAAATTCCATCTGAACACAAGAAAACACATTTTTACTGTGAGGGTGGTCAAACACTGGCACAGGTTGCCCAGAGAGGTTGTGGAGTCTTCGTCTGTGGAGATACTCAAAATCTGACTGGACATAGTCCTGGGCAACCCACCCTAGGTGACCCTGTTTGGGAGCAGGGTGTTGGGCTGGATGACCTCCAGAGGTCCCTTCCAACCTCAACCATTCTGTGATTCTGTCATGACAGGAGGCAGATTACTGAATGAGGTGAGGTACTCTGGTAGGCTGGTATAGCAGTTCCTGTGTTTATATGTCACTTCATTATCACTCTCACACAGTACACTTGAGGACTAATCATGTACAACCTGTCCTAGCTCCTTATGCTCCTTCTTGTTATGGTCTCTTTCTGTGTGCCATGGACACAAACACTTTTATTGCTGACTTCTTCAGTAATCATGGACTTCAAGTTACTCTCTTGTTCAGCTTTTGGAAAATAAGACGCTTGAATTCTGGAGCTGAAGAGTAGCTGCTGAAGCCTAATCTATTTACCCCATGGCTGATTTTTAACTCTGCAGCTCTATACATTTCACATTCACTCTACTTGATCTATCATTTATTGTCAAAATTAGCTCTAATTTAGATATTATCACAACCAAGAAACCAAAAGCATGATTTCTTTAAAGATTTCTCATGGGCTGCTATTGTAGAAACATCTGTAGTGATTTTTTATTTCCTTCCTTCACAGTCATTTTTAAATTATGAAGACTGACTTTTCTAATAGCAAGCTATCTGAAAAGAAAGCCCTCTCCTGGGTCTGCACTCTGCCCTGTTATATCTCTTTGTAAAATTTATCTTTGAGTAGTCCGTGCTGCTTTTCTTTGATCTGAGAGTGAAGGTGAGGAGGTGAAGACAATCCCAACATGATTTGGTGCTGTGAAGAATTAAGCTTCTCTTCTCTTCCTCCCCTAGTTTTCTTGGGCTTTCTCTGGCTTCATCTCTTGATGTGCGTCTTTTGAACTCCAACCATTGCCCTTTATCTCAAGGAATATTTGTTAAAAGATGATGGAAGAGATATGTTTAAACCAAATGCCTGGTGTGCTTGTTCTTTGCCTTGCAGAATACTCTGGGGCCCTCCAAAGCATATGGGACTTGAAATCTTTTCCTGGCCTGGGGTTCCCTTGCAAAAAACCCCACAACCCTGTGCTATAAATAAAAAGAATTACCACAAGCCCTGGGACTCTAGGCATGTGGAAATCCCTCTGATACTGGCATCTGCTTGTTTTCTACTTTTTTTTTTTGTCTTAGGCAATGTAACTGGTGAGCAATTCAGCAGCAGCAACATCCTTGGCTGGGCACATGCCTCTGTGGATCGATGTGCTGTGCTGCTTGACCTCTGGACCTATGAAACTGCTCTCTTGGAAAAAAAATGCCAGGTACAGAAGCTTTTATTGGTTTGAAAACAGTGATTTGCAATCAGTTCACTTCAGGTTGTGTAAGGTTCCCTTTCAACAGCATTTCCCGTTGTGTATACACATGGATGCCAGAGCCAGCAACCATGGGTGGTGGTACGGGTTTCAGATGCATTGGGAGCCTGGTGCTGGGCTGGGTGCAGAGCATTGGAGCTGCTGGGTGCTGTGACTTGTGTCCAAAGGACCCCATGTAGTGGCTTTTGCAACAAGGGAGCAGAAATGCTCTTGTTGTCAGACAGCAGCCCCTGTAGCTCCTGTGCCAGGGGCTGGAAGCACTTCTGCAAGGCCTTAGGGAGAGTCACCCACTACTGGATAATTGGGAAGGATAACTGGGAAGGACAAGGCCATCTCCAGAGCAAAACTGGAGAGCATGTTGTGTCCCTCCTTGCATGCCAGGGAATGGAGCAAATGCAGATTAGGAAGAATCAGGTCCAGCCCGGAGGATCCTGGGCCACCGGGAAGTCCAAGATGCAATTTTTTTCTGTGGTTCTGGCTGTCCCTGCTTTCTGGGGCTGGTGCAAGAAACTTTTTATGTCTGTCATTAGAACTGTAATCATTGCATCTTTGTGAAGCCCATGGAGGAGAGACTCAGTCTGCAGCTGGCTAGGCCCATCATTTGGATTACCCTTTGTCAGAGGGAACCAGAGAGGTATTTTGTATGTTATAGCATAAAAAATAATCCATTTATTAATAAAACCTATATAGATCATAGAATCATAGAATAGTTTGGGTTGGAAGGGACCTCTAAAGGTCATCTAGTCCAACCCCCTGCTGTGGAC